GGAGTCCTTTTGCAAGGCTCTTTTCCATCTGCCTGGGCTCATAATGCAGCAGCAAAGCCTGTTGCCATGCAGATCATAGCGAAGAGAAGAGGAGGCAAGAACTCCTTATTTTTCCTCCGCTGACTATGGAAACTTGTCTTGTTAAAGCAAATGCAACAACACAAACCCCACACTTGAAAAGCAGAGACTCTTTTTTTTCCCCCCAGCAGACTTAAAGGCAAATCCTGTCCTCTGCCGTGGGAGCAATGGATGAAAGTGGGCCAGGTCCATCCTGTGTACCAGCCAGAGAGGTTGTATCTCCGTGCCAGGCCAGGCTTGACGTGCCTTAACTTCTTTTTTAGTGCTGCAGGTGGCCTCTTCAGGATGTGGGAGCAGGACTGAGCAGCGCAGCCCCTTCCCGCAGCGCCCGCACTCACGTGCCTTCCCCTCGGTTCAGGCTGCTTTGTGCTACAAGTTATGCAGTGGGGAGGAAGCTTTTGGCACAGTGAGGTTTCCTCTGAGCTGGGCGGCAGACAGCATCCGCACAGGTTTAGTGATGTTTATTCCTGGAGACACTACTTGCGTTGCCCTGCCCAGCCTGATGTGAATTTCTCAAGACAGTCCTAAACAACAGGAGTCTGGGGTTCATCCCAGAAAAAAAAACAAATGTCCTCTAACTCTGGGGCTGTTCCTGCCTGCAGCTCTTCATTATACTGGGGAAAGACAGTCTTCCATACACCTGACATGTCTCCTCCTCGTCTGGGTTTCCCCAGCTCAGAGATATCACTGGGGGACAGATACCACCATGGGAATTTTCTCCTTTTCTCAGGCTTTGCCCCTCACACAAAATACATTTAGTTTCAGACTCAGGTTTAATAAAGAGAAGCTAAACAGTCAGGCTCTCTGGAGCCGAGGAAGTACACAGTTCTTGCATCTGGGTTCTTTATGCCCAATGGAGAGGCGTAGCCTGGAGCAATCGTGTTGGTTGGGAGCCTGGAGGCTGCTCCAATAGCTATGCTGTGCACAGCTACGTTCCCTTCCCACCGACACGCTAACAAACACGGCCCTGCCATGTCTCCTGGCATGGCCCGCAGCCTGATTAAGAGGATTATAGGCTGCCTGTCAATGACAAGGGGAATAAGGCACCTGATAAATCCCAAGTAAGAACTGCCTGCAGCCTGGCCCTGGCCAGCGCAGGCTGCAACCACGGGCAGGCTGATGTACCTTTTTGCTGCGAGGAAAGGAGACAGCCTGGCTTTTCAGAAGTGACACCCAAATCTCAGATTACTTCTATCTGCTCCCTGGGGCCCTGCCGCAGGAAACTGCCCTCCCTCTTCTTGCTAGGGCTGCTGCAGGACTTTTCAACCTGCTGCACGTGGGACAGGAGAGCTGCTGGCAGCCGCAGGTTCTCTGTTCCCTGTGGCTTGGGCTGTCTCGCACGATACCAGTCGGCCACAGGCAGAGCTTCTCAGTCTCAGGCCAGTCCCATGGAGCCTTTTCTCTGTTAGCCACATGAGCACAGCCCAGCTGTACAGAGGATGCTGCATGTCTGGTGGAGACAGAATATGCGGCCACTATGAGCACAGGCCAAAGCAGTTCTCACTCTTTCGTGCTCTTTGTTAATTTGATCTCGTTCTTACAGCTCCCTCCACAGCCATGTCCATTTTTGGTAATATCTTTGGAATACAAAGAAGGCTTTAGCCCAGCAAATGCCTTAAATAAAAATAACCATCCAGTCCCCTCTGGTAAAATCACAATTGTCTTCCTGCAGGAGGAAATATCGACCGAACGAAGGCGTGCAGCTGGAGAGTCTCCAGGGACGTGCATCACTCTAACCTCTCTTTTTTCCAAAGCATACATCAGACGATGCAGGACGCTGATATGTTCATGGCTCCGCTATGCTGGGGACTGATGAAACGTGTCTGGAGAAATGGTATCTGCCTCAGATGTGCAGGAAAGATGGGAGCTGGAGCCTGAAAGATGGCTAGACATTGCTGCCTTTTCCCGTGCAGCGACGCACATGAGATGCTGGCGCACTGCAGTTGATGGTGCTTTTGTAGCTGATTTACCTGGGGCCAGAGTTTTCTGTTGCTAGCCATGTTAAAAGCACACTCTAGTGCATGCATGCAGTGGCTATCAAGGCACTTATACCTGCAGCCTAGCCCGGGTGCACGGCTGCAGGAGAGTGCTCAGTGCAGACGTAGTGTCCCCGGAGCTGCAAGAGGGCTCGGGTCAGCAGCTCTGCTGTGAAGCTGCTTGGGCTGCGACTGTGCCAGGAGTCAGGGCACCTGGGCACAGCAGCATGCGCCGCGTGCTCCCCATCCCTCTGCCTAGAAATCTTAACATATTAACGGAAAATCTGCCTGCACAATGTTTGCTCACGTTAATAAATTATGCTGGAAAATAAATAGATGCTAAATTACATCCCGGCCTGGCCAGAACTTTTATCTCGCCTGTCAGGGCTGTGTAATATTAATTATAGGCTGCTGAGATCCCCTCCGGGAGAGAGCTGGCGGACGGCTGCTGCAGCCAGCTGTGCTTCTCCTATCTCCTATTTGATTTTTCATTTAATCAATGCCCAATAAATCTGTAGTCTCCTGAATGTGGACATCTGTGTTTAATGCACCTATAGAGCAACCTGATGAAATGCCATCTTGGGCAGTCCCATGGTGGGACTGGGCACTCGCTTTGCTGCTTTTTGTGCTGCTTGCAGACTGCTGGTATCTTCAGGGCATCCAGAGGCAGTGCTAGACCTTGATGTTCAGCAGCCACCCATGCCAGAGAGATGTCCGGGTTCCCAGCTCCTCTGTAGACTTTATAAATCCCTACCACAGCCATCCTAGCCTGTAGCTACAAGCCAAAGCATTTTGTCTGCAGCTAACTTACTCCTCTCAGCCTCTTCATCTTCCAAAATACTTGTTCTGGATGAAATGGATTAACTGGCCATAGTTTTCATTTCAGATGAACAGGCGATAAATTGTTACTCACTGAGGAATGAGATTTGCTGTTTGTATACCTTTGGTAAGGCAATTTATCCTTCCTGTGGACTGTTTCCTCCACTGGGCATTATCTGCATTACAAAGAGCAGATTTCTTTCTTTCTTTTTTTTTTTTTTTTCTTAATGGGTTAAAATGTGATTTGTTTGCTTTATGCTTCTTCCACTAAACCCCACTTAATAAAATGTTAATTGTTCTTAATGCCTTAAACTAATTACAGTCGTTTTCGCTGCCCCTCTGTGTCTGTGTGCAGGGCCACGGGATTGCCATGGCAACGCTGCTCATCGGCATGGCGAGCGTGCAGGTCTCCAGCTCCCTGGATTCATTGCTCCGTGGACGGTCTGCGGATGATGCAGCCCGTTCCGATGGCCTGAGGGGTGCGGAGTGGCTCTCAGACTGGAAGGAGACGAGGCATTAAAAGCCACCTACGTATTTGCTTCCCAAGCCAGGAGCCTGGCAGTACCAACTAAAGAGAAGGGGAAGGGGAAGGGGAAGGGGAAGGGGAGAGCCGGGCACACAGGGGCCAGTTCATGTGTTGTCCCACTGAGTGGCACAGGGGTTGCCCGGCCCTGCTTGCCTGCCACCTCTGCTGGCAAGCGAGCTGCAAGGGCTGCCTGTCGTGCATAATTTAGGTCTCTGCTGCAGGGATTTTAAGTCAGTTGGCTTTGAAACGTTACTATGAACAGAAGAAATGCTGTTATTATTTTTACTCTTCCCAAATGCTTTGGGCAGGAGCCTTAAAGGGACGGACTTGAGATTAATAAGTTGGAAAGAGAGAAAATAAAGTGACAGGTTGTCTGCAGCTGCTGCTTGAGGACACTTTCTACATATAATTCACCATGAGGGAAAGCAACAGCCTTGGTGTAGGCTGTAAAGCAAGAGCAAATTGATGGAGATCGTGTTCATTTAGGGCCTGTTACTTCAAGCCTTTAATTTCTGGCTTATCTGGCTTTCTCCAATCCTGTTTAAAACAGCCTCCAATACAGCGAGTGAGGCCGCTTGGCACCCTCTGCTCTGGGAAGGCTTTCCTTGCTCTGGCAAGCAGGACATTTTTAAATAGCCTACAACATCATTTGAGCCTTGCTTCTACTTTCATGAAGCCTCTGCCTCAAAAACACTCATGAAGCATAAATCGTTTACACTAACGCCTTGATGGATTGCATGTCATGTTACATTAAAACATTTTCCAGAGAGTGGAGAGGCTGTAGATCAACCATTTTTTGGCACCACCATAGTTTAAAAATGAATAGCTAATGTATATTTGCAAATGATTTGGACAACTTCCCTCTGACGGGAATCCTCTAACAGCTCATCTGTCCAGCTTTGGGAGAATGGATGGGATTTATTTATTTATTGCCAAATCTCTCTTACAAACATTTGCAGTAGCACTCTGCATATTAGGTCTTCTGGTTTTACAACTTTGGATAAAATTGCTTGGGATATTATTATGGTTTTTGCTCCAGACATTTAAGTTAGGACTTGATCACTTGCGAGGAAGGGGAATCTCTTTTAATGGATGGTAAAGAATAACAACGACACTAAGTTCCCATCCAAGCCCTGTAGAAAAAGAGGAAGTAGGTAAGTCTGTATAAGTAATCAGTTACAGCGAGGAGGGGAAAATAGGAAATCTGCAATGCTGTCAGTGAATCTGCAATTGATTTGACCTTAACTAGATGTGTAGGAGTAAAGACACATCTCAGCAGCAGGAAAGAAAGTCAGTGCTAGCAAGTCATTTTCTCTCTGCACTGGATATGTAGTTCTGCTCAGCAGCACAAGAAGCTTTTCCCTTCTCCTATCAATGCATCTGCATTTCAAAATACACGTATAGCTTTAACCTCCTTTTTCATCCTGAGGGATCCAGCATGAGAATTTTTTTTCCCCTTCTACTTTATCCCTAAGGCTAACCTGCAAAACAGGTGAAATGCTTTACCATCAAAAGGAAACTTCCCCTCACCTGCAAGTCATCAGCATCTGCATTTATTGCTGAGGAAGAGTAGCTCTAGCTTTGCTTAGAATGACCTGTTTCTTGGTTGTCCTGGGAGTTCTGGCTCTGTCCTGTTTTGGTACCAGTATTGCTGGTGAATGGAGCCTCAGGGTTTCTGTGTACTCTGTAAGGCTTTGCTCAGCAACCATGGTATTACACAGGTTAGTACTGTTTATTGATTTAGAGTTCCAGTTCAAGAATAGAAAAACAGCAGCAAAATCCCAGGATCAAAAAGCTTTAAAATGAGCAAACTGAAGATGTAAATGGTACTTGGCAGTATGCCTGCTGAGCTGCTTATGTCTTGCTGCTGCAGATGTGTAGCATAGGTGAGCTACCTGTGCAATGTGCCCTTCAGGTGTGCTCTGCAAGAAGCCTGTGCTAGGGCTGGCCTGGGTGCTGGGGAGGTTTCACTGGCAGTCCTGTGACCCCCATCATGCGTCCTGTTGCTCTCCGTTAGCAGTTTGGATGAGCCCCTGTTCCTGGCGTATGTGTCCTCAATGTTCTGGTGATGTCGTTTATCATTTATAACAATTTGACCATGTTAAGGCATGTGCTAATTTGATTAGGTGCATTTCCTTGGAGTAATTGGGGCAACTGAAATAGCAAAGTGTGTCTGAATGCGCATTACAACTATCCAAATTGTGGCAATCCATTGCAAATTTCTCTGTGATCCACAGTTTTGGGGAGCTGTTTTTACCTCGGTTCTACCAATTAAAAGACACCATTCCCTCTCAGAGGCAGAGAAACCACCAGTAGAAGGAAATCTTTACCCTTAAGAGCCTCATTGCTTATTAATGGGGGTAATTAAGTGGATCTAGCTAAACTGTAGCTTGCATGAACTCTGAGAGTGCCTGTATACATATTCACTGGTTTAAATGCTCCACTCAGATTAATAAAAGAATTGATGTAGACAATGGGTAATGTCTGGGAATTGCTCTTGAGACTGTAATGAAGACATAGCAGTTGCCTCCTTTTCTTACAATACAGCTAAAAATAGCCCAGTTCTACATCTGTGCTTGCTGTAGAGTCGCTGTTGTGCAACAGCATTAGATGCCTTAGAAACACCCAAAATGGGCAGGCAGGCAGCTGCAGAGCCCAGGCTGGGCCCTGCTCCTGGCTGAGATGCTCTCTGGCTGAGTTAGCCTTGTGACCTGGTGTTCCCCTGCCCCAGGGATCAGGCTCTTACCTCTCTCGGGCAGCAAATGCCGAAATTGAGCAAATAGGGGGTGCAAAGCTAGGAGATGAGCTCTGCTCTGGCACAAAGCCGGAGCTATTGGTGCAGGGGAGTTAATGCCACAGGTCACGGTATTCAAGATGAGGTAAAGGGCTCTGCTTCAGGATGCCCTAGTTGCCCTGAAGGCTCTGGGCAGCTCGCTGGTGGTGCTGGCAGCTCGGTGAGCGAGTACTATGCTGTATGTACGAGCTTGAGGCTCAGACCTGAGTCTCTTCACAGAGAATGGGGGAGGCAAGGGGACAGAAAGTAGAAGGCTTCCTGCCCCTTCTTTCATGGAAGTCTGTCCTGGATGGAGTCAGGCCCCAGTGCTCCTGCTTGAGGCGGGTGTTGATCAGGGCAGGACTGAGGAGCTTGGACTGAGCTTTGTGAGTGCAGTGAGTGCTGTTTCCTCTCTTGTCCCTGCAAAGACTAACATAGTACAGCTTCTCTGGGCCTCAGGAGAAGGAGAAGATTTGAAACGGAAACACCAGGGAGTTTCCTTATGTGATATTTCTGTGTAAATAACAAGAAAAGGAAGCAAAAATGTCACATTAGTGCTCTCTGAGGAGGGTCGCCAGGGATTACAATTTGCCACTGAGCAAAATGGGTTGGTATTTGCAGAGTGAGGGTGGAAGCACAGTTTGTCTGTGTGTCTCATGTTTGGCTGAAGTTTTGTCCTAGTAGCTGTGTCTTGGAGGCTGGGCCTGCCCCAGGTGATAGCAGTTGCTCCGCCTCCATCCCTAAACTGGCACCCTGGGTTATTTCTGCGCCATTCAAGGAGAATGAAGACTGTCTTAATTGTGTTCTGAATTACAAATGTTTTGGATTTCATTGGTTGTGATTAAAAAGACAAAAGGTGCTGTGCCCTTACTACAGCTGTTCATTCTCGAAAGCCTGGTTTGCTGCTTCCTTGCAAAGTTATCAGTGTGATCTTCAGTGGCACTGTGGGTGTATCCGGAGCCATCATCTGAGCTCAGGAGTTCATGCTGGCAGTCATAGACAGCTAATGAGGGATGGTCCATGCTCTGAGGAGTTTACAGATTAACCATGCTAAGATGTGCAGAGATGGGGAGAAAGAATATTATGTTCTCTGAGAAATGTGGTATAGAGAACTTAAAGGAGCTTCTAGTGAAGCTAGAAATGAAGCAGGATCTCTTGTGTACCCCTGTGTTATTTTAGTGTATTAGTCACAGGGCCATCATTTCTCCTTTAAAGTGCATCCTGTGTTAGCTGAGCGTCAGGCTGAAATAGAAAATGCAATCACTGCTGAGATCCACGTGTGTAACAGCTGCACAGCGATGTTGTCCTGCTGGTCCTCTGTGGCACCCACTGAAAGGAGAAGGAAAGCGAAAATGCGGGTGTATTTGTTGCACATGCTTTATGTTGAGAAGTTGTTATGCTACTTCATGCTATAGCTGATGTATTAATATTAAGCTTTTATACAATCAGAGGAAATGTCCTATTTGGAGCTTAGCCTGCATAATACAGCTGTCAATCAAGGTCGCACAACCTCTTGTGTTGTTGTTGATTTGGCATAAAATTTTGAGATGGTCTTGAGATGGGAGTGGGGGAAAATTAGAACTAGACAGCAGTGTGCCTGAACAGAACATCTTTTGCCCTGGGTTACAGTTATTAAAGGTGTTTTTAAGCTAGCTGAGCTGTTGGATTATTTTGCGCAAAGTGAGATAAGGCATGATCAGAAACTTGCTTGCAAAATGTAGACAGATGTATACAGAATATTTTGTCTTTCTGCTGTAATTGGAATTGAAATTCAGTGTTTGGATAGGTGCATTGAATGTATGCCAAATGTTGCAGTACCCCAATAGTCCAGCTACTTGTAATGCAGCTTGAGCTGCTAATTCGTGATGGTCTCAAAGGGAAATGCACAAACTACTGAATTTGTGCAACTGGGACAAAAGAATAGTTAAAAAAAACAACAAAAAATAGAGCCTGATAGTGGATTAATAAATCAGTGGGAAAGGCCAGCAATGAGATAACATGCCCTTTCATGTGCGGTGGTCAGGCTGGAGTACTACAGAGACAGCAGGGATGAGCTATTGCCCTGGGGTACGTGACAGCTCTGCATCCATCTCCCCGATGGTATTGATGTTGCTGATGCAACACTGATAATGACAGATGTCATGGTGGATGCAGAGGGATAAGAGGATAGTGCCACCTAATGATGATTGTCACTTGTTTTGCTTTCCCATCAATGTCCCTTCACTCGCAGTGAGGAGGGTTTCCACCAGAGCAAAACCCTGGCATAGCTTCTGAAGGGAAGAGAAACGGCTGTTGATGAAAATGAAAGGGTTAGTCAAGTGCTCCAGTGATTTCCAACAGGTTTATGCAGCAATAACTTGTCTTACTCCCACAGCCTGATTAATCAGCTTGATTGTGCGTGGTAGTGTTGCCTGGCAGTGGCACTTGTCACTGGAAATACTTTGCTGCTTTGCTGTTCACCATGAGAAACCAACAGTGAGAGCTAACCAACCAAAGCCTGCAAACAAAATCTGGGCAGCAAAGTGAGGAATTGAGAGTTAAAATGCTTTTGGCAGAGCTGGCAGTGCTCAGAGCCCATTTGCTGTAAGAAGGTACCACACTTGGTACATGAAATTAAGCTGAGATTGTATGTGACAGTTGTCTTGTATCCTTCCCCCTGAAGTCCTGCTTTGCTCCAGAATAAGGTTCCCTGAAATACAATGGGTTTTCAATCGGGCGCACTGGGTCTTGCTGCCAGGGTCTCTTTTCTACTGCCTGGTAAACTAGACCTCTGCTATTCACTGGCAGCTGCGTCAGATCCAGTTTTCCTATATAGTAAAAGGAAAGCTTAATTTACAGACTGTATGCAGAAACACCTGGCTCTGTTTCCCACCACCAAACAGGAATGAAGCTGCCCCAATGAATGACAGTTTTCGAGTGAGCTATCAGTGACCTGGAGAAATGCAAGGGGATGACTGCAGGCAGGTGTCACGCTGCAATCCAAATGCGTGTCTCTCCTGCAGAGCCCTGAGCGTATGTGTGTCAGAGGCGGGTGTGATCTCTAGTGGCAGGAGGCTGAGAAAAGCTGTCTTGAATTTATCCCAGCGGAAGAGTCAGGGGAGGCTAAAAATAGCGTAGGGAAGCCAGGCAGGGTGATGGTGGTGAAGGGGAATCCCTGCATGCCAGCATGTTGCTTGTGGCTTCCTTCCACTGCAAGTCGTGTTTCAGGCAGGAAAGTTGCAAGGAGCAGGTAGCTCACCATGAGGAGCAGGGAAAGGGAGTCCTGAGATAGCAAGGTGGTCAGAAACGACCCACTATGAGGGCAGGTATTGTGACAGCGTGGAGGAAGCTTGGTGAAAGACTTGGCTTGAATGCTTGCAGCTGTGCAGGCCAGAGCAAGGGAAACACTCTCCATTTGGCCCCTACTGTGCTCCAAGAGGATTTTAGCTGGTCTGTATGGGCAAAGAGTGTGTTAAAGGAATATCTGAGCTCTGCTGTTTTTATCTCCTCTCTGAAATACTGTAAGAGACTCCAAAGTTCGGCTGGTCACTTAGGTGACAGAAATTTGAACTTAAGCAGCATTTATGCATTATGAAGATATTTTCTTTTTCTCACTATGTTTTTCTGATCTTGGAGACTGTCAGAAAGTGCCTTGAACTCCTTCCATTCCTCTTTTGAGCTCCCAGAAAATTTGAGATAAAGTGCAAGTTGAGTTTGATCAAAAAAGGATTTTCATTTAAAAAGTTTCTCTGCTTTCCCGATTGAAGTAAATATACAAGCATTATGTGGAAAATGCAAGACAGCTCCCAGCTACTTAGACTGTTTCTGATTTAACTGGAAATTAGACTCCTGATCTTTTTGTTCCCTCTTTAAAAACAACTAATTCACGTAAAGTTGTGAGGTGGGGATATGTGTTAATACCAGAGCCATGTGTGTGCTGATCTTGGGCAAAAGATAAGGTGATACCCC